GAATATCTACCTGAAATATACGTGTATACAGTAAAAATCAGGGAGATTTACTAAATTTTTACAAATATATACGCATACGTGAAGCAAAAAATTGAGATTTACGTATATGCGATAAATATACGTAATGATTCAGAAGTCAAACAACAAAAATCAGCGTTAATTTTTAAAATTTTCACAGGACTAGTTTCGATGGTTTTACCGAACCACCATCCTCAGCTGCAAAACCGCAAATGAACAAGGTAGGAAATAATGATTAGATAAGATAGGGAAGCCTAGACAAGAATAGATAAGATAAGAAAGCCTTGACTTTGTTGTTTGACTTCTGAATTAGTACTTATTTGGCGTGTTATTGTGTCTTAAATATACGTGAATTTTTACTAAAAATATACGTAAATTCCAGAAATTTACATATACGTAAAAGTTGCGAATGAACAGCAGTCTCTCACGTAAATATACCTAAATTTTACGTAAAAGTTACGTATAGTATAACGTAAAAATAAATGTAAATATCTAGTAATTGCCACTGGACACTTTTTATGATATTTTTACGTTTTTTATACGAAAGGCCATTTGTAAATTGCGCATATTTTTCTCGTGCAATTTACGAATGCATGCTGCCTGGGTGGGGACCCTCCTGCAACTTCATTTGACACTAAGATTTACAGACTGCATCCCCGAGAGGAGAGGTCTGCTAGATTCTATATTCGAGGAACATAATTTCAGTTATTTTGATCACTTAAAGCACATATTTCTTTCTGTTGTACCCAAAAATTGCTCAGATTTCCTCCACTTTGATACAAAGAATGCATCCAAAGTCTCACAATGTTTGGTTCGAACTCCTGAAAACATTCAACGAGTGAGTGATAACGTTAATTACAAACCCATTCTTGGGTGATTGCCAGACTGAATAATGTTGCCGAAAGCACGCTGCCAGACGGAGAATCGTAGTCTGATCAGGACAGTTGTGCATACTAAAATGCTGATGGTATGCTGTTTGAGGATAACTGATCTTTGATTTTCAGAATAAATTTCAATCAGTTTTGTGCACTGTTTAGGATTTACTTTCTCCATGGTGTATCTCACAGATGTACTTTACAATCAAAATAAAAATATTAAATAAACAAATTAAAAAAAAAAAAAAGAAGAAGAAGTCATTGTAACCATCACGGCGTTTGTGCAACCCTGTACAAAAATGTATCGAATTATTTACGTATAAACAGCTGTTTAAAAAACACTTGATTTTTGTGTTAAGTGTGATTATATGAGTTACTCTTTGAATATTTTACTGAACACTAGCTCGTATGTGTATGTATATCTATTAATATTTTTATAAATAGATATAAATGTGTAAATATATGTCTACTTGTAAATGTAAATGTGAGTTTGTAATATTCGTTTGATTTTCACTATATGCAGTAGACTGCATTTGTTTTTGAACACTTATATTGAAATTTATTTTCAAAATAAAATCTACACAGTATTGAAGAATTTATCCTTTTTTTTTTAATACCTATAAACTCCCCTCCTCAAAAAACCTTTTAACACATTTTTTTTAATAAATTCAAAAAGTTTTCGAAAGTTTTTGGATTAAAAAATTTGAATTAAAATTTATTCTATCTTTCTTGGCTCATTGCAGCAGTATTTAGTCAGATAAAAAAGTTCAAAGGCATGGAACATGGTTTAAAATGTAGGAATTTAATCCTCATTGTGGCCCTTTGTAATGTTTGTCATATTGCTACTCTCTCTTTGAAAACTTATTCTTGCTGAACTTGTGGAAGGCCAGAAATGAAATTTATAACTATACAATTGGTTGTGGTTTATGAATTTATAATTACAAATCCATATTTAATTTTGAAATTAGTATCTTGTTTTTGCAAATAGCTGAAGTCCTAGCTTTTCCTAACTAGTCCTAGCTGGTCCAGAGCAAGTAGCCTCATCTTTGTTATGGCATTGTGTAGTAGAGCATCATTTTAGCTTGTATAAAAATTTCATTTTTAATCTCCCACTGCAGTGGTTTAATAAATTCTATTCGATCTTAACTTGACTTGTTCTTATTGAATTGCAGTTATGTAGTTGTTAATGGTGATAATTCACCGACAGCTTATGATAACACTTTGTGTTAGTAATTAAGTTGAGCATACACTTGAAATTAGTACACATCTTAAAAATAATAAATTTTTCAGGTTTTAGATTAATATGCGAGTACATTTTTTTAATTATTATTTTATTTTTATTTATTTATTTATTATTATTATGAACACTTTGAACCTAATTCCTTATAGGAGACTAATTTTGAAAAAAGGCAAATAATAGGATACTTGAAAAAGAATCTGCTGAAGTTATTTTTTTAATATCTGGTAAATTTTTCTTGCAAATAAATTTCAAAAGCACAAGTGATTCCCTCCCCAAAAAGTATAAACCACCATAGTTTTGTGCACTTTGAGGTTAATAAAAATTATGTTACTGCATTAGTTTAAATATAAACTTCATTCTTGGCTATTTATTCGTTGTTTCTTCTTGTTACAGGTAGTGCTCCGGTTTTTTCATCCCAGGTGTATGAAATGTTTGAAATGCATAATTCTGCTCAAAATGATAATTCTGTCATACATAAAACTGCTATTGAAATATCAATGACAACGTGCTCTCGTTGTTTCACTTGCTGCTCTTTACTCTATGATGAAGAAATTATGGAAGGTTGGAGTGCTGATGAATCAAATTTAAATACACAGTAAGTATTGTGCTGATTGGCAGGTGTAAGAGGTTACAGCAAAATGAGAATTTATTTATTCTAGTAAAAGTAATTGAGAACCTGTTTATTTATTGTAAAAATAATGATTAAAAAATCTCAGATATGTTTAAATCTTTATTTTAAGAAATTTATATGAAGTAAGTTACTTCTTCTCTTTAAAAAAGAAGTTTAATGAATAATAATACAGTCAAACGCGTTATCCCGGACCGTCGGGACTTCGCATTCCGATTATAGAATTTCCGGATTAAATCATCAGTTTAATCTAGTAATATACAGAAATATAAAAATATGAAACCGTAATTTTGAAATAAAGACATTAATTAAAGGGTATCAAAATTTACAAAAAAAAAAAAGCTTATTTAATTTGTTTACTTTATTAATCTTTCTTTTTATGTAGTTGTTAAGCTTCTTATGTGATAATACTTGACATATAGAAAAGTCCACCTATAAAAATACTATTTGATGTTAATAACCTCTGATTTCAAAATGACGAGAATTTGATTTAAATCATATCAAAACGGAGACATCGAGATGAAATCTACATTTAGTAGGAATTATAAGCCAATAAAATAACATCTGCCCTGAAGCTAAGGATAGTGCTGACAGATCATTCCATTGGGCGCCGCGACGTTCCCCCCTCCGCAGAGCCGCGGAAATTGATAAACAGATTCGGAATGTTAAGAAACAAAGATATGCCCTTTATCCATTTTTTTGCAGCACTCCACTTTTTTTTCATGGACACGAAATATACTTTCGTTTCTAACATTTGGGTCTAATTGGAAATTCTATTTGACATAATCGAAGTTTCAGCTTACTTTTATAAAATTGCTCTAACAGTCGCAACAATAATAAGCGGATCCAATTCGAAGTTAAGGAACAACCAATCGCAACATTAACTGAAATAGATTAATTTTTTTAGCTATACCGTCCGTTATACATTAAATGCGCATGCTAACTTTATGCATGTAACACTGCTCGGAAATTTGTAGCTTTGAGGTCCGGATTATGGGTGTCCAAATTAACGACTTTTGACTCTACTTGTCAATAAAAATCTCATCCATTGTTATTTTCTGCAGTGTCATATAGATTGTTACTACCTAATAATATGCTGCTTTGTGAATTCTGTAAACGTTGTTGTCAAACAAATAGAATGTAGTATTTAATGTTACTCATTTTCAAAGTAAGATAATCCATTTATTGTGTACAGCAATAAATACAATTGAGTACAGTTAGGTATGGATTCACAAAACATGCATAACTTTTTCAACACAACATCTTGAAAATGTTTTTCATGGCAGTCAAAGCATTGCTGCTATCTTCCAGGTACATTTGCCATAATGAGTTGTAGGATCTCATGTGTGATAATCGCAGCAGGCATGGATGGGGCTGTCGGAAAAACAAGAAATTTTCCGAAGCGACAGTGATCATAGGTCTGCCTTGTCACATGATGTGTGTGGATTAAAAATGGTTGAAATATTGATCATAATTACAGGATTCATGCCACAAGTAATAATAATAAATTAATAAATAAAAATATACTAATTGGAAGAAAAAAAATTTAGTGATCCCCCCCCCCTGATAATAAATTTATCTTGTGAATCCTATTGGTGTTAGCTTGTTTCAAATTCATATTTTCTGGATTTAATTCTTTACTCCATCATAGCATTAAAAGTGTGGAATTTTCATGTTCTGACACCTCAATAATTTCATAGTGATGCTGACATATATGTGCAAGCGTCAGAATGCAGTGTCCTGGCATTTTGACGAAAATTGTACTCTTCACAGTATAAACTGATTTTCATAAGGTGCAAGGCATTCCCAGCTCCATCTTGCAAAAAAGGGGTGCCAGCACCTTTATCCTCAGACCAACCCTATTGGCCTCCGATCCACAGCCTCCTGAAGAGCTGCATTTTTAAGGCTGGTGATGGCAAGTAGGATATGAGTGAAAACGTGAGCTTTCAGATACTGCTATAAAAAGTTTATTACATTCCTTAGGGTTTAGTTTGGGAAAATTCAGTGGCTGTCCTTCAATTCCCTGGAACTTTCTCCAGCAGATTTTAATTGATCAAGTTTTTACTCGTGCTGTACTCGATATTAACGATTTAAAAATGCAGTTTATTTCTAGATTTTGTGTCTTTGACAGGATACTTTATAGTTTGTCATCACATGTTTACCTAGGAGATGGCAGCAATGCCCTGATTATTAGGGAGAATACCTGTAGGCATTGTATTGAAGAAGTAATTGTAACCCCTGTTTCATTGTATTGTAATGTCTTATTCATAAATCCACAACACTGATTTAACTGTTTTTAATTGCATTTTTTGATGACTGATTTAACTATTTTTAATTGTTAAATCAGTAAATTATTGTTGTAGCATATAGTAAATGGCATATATTACTTTAAAAATGGGTGATTTTAAATACTGCAGTTGCATTTGCAAAGTATAATGGAATTCACCTTAGAGAAATATCTATATATAAAATGGTAAAATACTGTAATTTTTTAATGGTTAGCAGATAATGTTACATAATATTGCAGTTTAAGCTAATGCTTTGTGTGATCATGTTTTAAGACTATTATGCATAGAGTAAATAATCTTTTTCTATATCTTGTATGGATTTATAAAATCATTCTTCAGTACTGACATTTGTAAAAGAATTTTTATGAATCTAAGTGTGATATTTTAGTTTCAGTGAAATTTTGTGTTTGTATACGTACAGATCTGTCTCTTATGTACAATTTTAATGGATCAAATTCCTATAAATGTACCACAAAATCATTTTTTATGCTTTTTTATTGAAATTCAGTTTTTTTACAAGCATTTTAAATCAAACCTCTGTAAGAATTTGCTTTAGAACCAGTGTTTGTTAAAAAATAATTCTAAACTTTTTATAATTTAAAGAAGCTGATTGTTTGTTTACAGTTTGCACTTGTGCATATTCCTTGCACTAAGTCTCTACTGTATGTGAAATATTTCTGTATACAATTTTATACATAGATAATACAATTTTATACATAATTGAAAATTACAGTTTTATACGTAATTGAAAAATTACTACCATATCTATCTATATATTTAATATTAAGAAAGTTATGTGCTTGTAAGATTTCAAGTTAATTTCATTTTTCAATTAAGATTTCATAAAATTGTGATTTTTCCTGCTTGTGCTCATAATTTCTGGCTGATAAGAATTTCAAGAAATTTTTAATGTATATGCGTAAAATAGCCAATCATTGTGCTTCTGACATAAGATCTTTTTAGAACTGTAATTAAATTTGAAACCATATGAAAATTTAAACATGATTTTTCATTGTCTCAGTTAAAATTTATGTATGCAATACATTTTAAATATATAACTATGCATATTTGTAAACATTATTTTGATAAATGTATTTTTATAGTTCTTTAATAGTTAATATTAAAAAAATAATATACATTTACAACATTTGATAGTAATTAAATCTTTTTTCAAAACTGCAAAATTTTCTTGCATGTGTGCATAATTCTTTTGAAACTATTCATCAGAATTTCAGGAAATTTTGACAAATTATATAAACCTTATATGAGTATAAAATAAGCAACTGTCTTATGTTTCTAGCATAAAAATTTAAGTAAAACATTTTAGTTATGCATTGTTTTTTTAATTTTGAGGACGAAATGAGTTAAAAATAGTATTTTTTTTATCCTTTATGCTTCATGCAGTACGTATAATTTTATTTTGACCACAATGAAGGTATTTTATTAAAAATATTTTAATATCTGAAACATAAATAAAAAAAAACAAATACAATATCAGGAATTTTGAAATAAGTGTAGAAAATTGTCTGAACATAAACCTGCTAATTATAAGACATGGAGCATTAAACTTTGTTATATATTTGGCTATTTTTATTGTTTAAAGATACCTGGCCGCTTAAAAAAAGGGTTTAACCATGTAGCAATAAATCAATCCATTAACAGGCTAAAGAAAATAATTATATGAGATCTCTGCATTTGGGTATGGGCCACATTTAAGTATCATTATAAATAATTATGGATAAAATAACAGGACCAGTTACTGACCAAATGCTTTGCATACCAGTGGGGATGGAATGACTTTATTCCCTGCTTGACCAAAATTTTGATCAAGTACACACTAGGATATGAAACCTGATAGTCTTACACATATCTTTCTGTACCACCTAACTCTAAAAACTCATACTGACGTAGTTTAAGTACTTGCATTTTACAGAGTCTAAAAAGACTGTGCCTTACCTAGGGTATAAACTAAGCTCCAACCAGCAAAAAAATTTTACAGTTAAAGAGAGTAACAAATTTGTACGTATGTAAGACAATTTCTACTTTAGATCAGCCTCAAAATTGCTTTAGCATTTTTTTAAAAATCTATGTCAGTGTGAGTTTTTTTATAACTCTAATTTTAAATCAAGAATTATGTTGCTATACGTTTTTTATTTGACTTAAAGTTTATGTAAAAAATTCTTTAGAAACTATATAAATATGAGGGGTGATCCAAAAAAAAGTTTACAAGGCAAATGAAAAAGTATTTATTAACCATAGAAACAAGATACAAATGGGATCAAAAGACACATCTGCCTTCACTTTCCACATCGCACCAACCGTTAGCATTGTCAGAACGTTCGACCAACTTTTATGCCTTTTAGTAGTAATCAGGGCGCTGCTCAACTGGCCATTTCCGGCAGTTTTTCACGATGTCTGAGGTGAACCGTGTTCTGATAAGTAACGCTTCAACGCTAAAAATAATAGTCACTTGGAGCCAATCGGGCTGTATGGGGGGGTGATTCCAGACCTCCCACTTGACCTTGCCGCATTCTGAGTCTGGGAGCTGTTGGGGCCTGGATTCATGCAGAAGAATGACGCCCTTGCTCATAATCCAGGCTGTTGCATCGAGGCTTTACCATTTCGTTAAGGGCACTCCGATCGGCCTTATGGAGGCCACGCTCCAAATACTCAGTTAGGATCAACCATCAGATCCCAGAAAACGGTTGCCATCACTTACCAGCAGAGGTGGGACCCTAACTTCTTCCTCGTCGGTGATCCAGGTGTTATCCACTCCATCGGGTCTTTGGATGTGGGGGGAGTGATGACCCCATGTTTTCATCACTGGTATGATGCGATCAATGAAGTGTTGCCTCTGAATGTATCGCTGAAGAATGAGGCTTGCACATCATTCTAGGGCCTATCCCGCGGAAACGCATAGGAACCCAGCGGGCACAACCTTTGGAATATCGCAACTCACGTATGATATGCTAAACTTTACCATAACTCGTCCAACTCTGAGAAATCTCAAGGACGTTACTCGTCGATCCTTTGGTGAAGTTCTTCAACACGTGCAGTGTTGATATCCGCTCCTTGAAGAACTTGGATGGCCGATCGCTTCCCATATTTTGTTTTCCACTGTCCCTACCCGCGTGATAAGAACAAACTAGCAACACCATGTCGCTAACCTGTTGTCTACCATTGCTTTGGTCGCCCGTATGCCTCAACGATTTGTCTGTGAATTTTGGATGCGGCCAACATTCTTGGCCCATAAAATCGAATTACGGTTTCGCACCTCTATGCGAGACCACTTTTCTAGACGTCGTGCCATTACTGTCGCTCTTAAGTGTCTGCATACTCACGCTACTTACTTGTAGCACCGCTGTAGGACAACTAGCGCCATCTGTCAGCCACCCGGGGTGGAAATATTCGCTCCACAATTATTACGTTTCAAATGCTTCTGCTTGTAAACTTTTTTTTTGGATCAACCTACATATATCTCCTAGTGAATGGACTGGCTACATATGTGGTTTTGTGGCTTTTTCCATTTATTATGTGAATATGAACTAGTTTCAGTAGAATGTCCTCCAAAAAGCCCTAGTTTACTTTGCTGTAATCTAATAAATGTGAATATAGAAAGCTAATAAATCTGAATATAGAATCAAAATATAGAATATTTTATTTATAAACTGTCTATATTTTGATTTTTAAACTGTGTGATATATGGTATTTTTAAATAACTCTTGAGTGTTTTAATAGCATGCTCTTGTTCAAATGCTGCTTAAAAAGTTTTAAGTTGATTTTTCCTGTGCAATTTTAATATTTTATTAAATAAAATTGTTTCATATTACAGACATAAAAATATGTTGACCAGAAATAAAGGAAATTTGTTTTTGACCAAAATGAAAAATAATTTTTGATTAGTTTTAAAAATATTTAATCATGTTTACTAATCAAAGTGCGTGAATTTATACTCTCTCTTTTGCAAAGCAAAATTTGTTCCCCTCTTGACCATATTTGTTAAAGTAAGTAACAAATGCTTATTTTTCAAAAAAAAAAAAAAAAAAGGGGGGGGTGAATCATTTCAGCACATTATGTTTTTATTAAGTATAATGATATTTCCTTTTAGGATTTTAGATGGGATGGATCTGATGACAATTGTATGAGTCCTGCTCAGTCATCTGAGAGTGTTTGCTCTGCACCTTCTGGAAATCATGATGGCTCTATAAGTAACCGTCCAAAGCTTCTAAATGAGAAAAACACTCACCTTAATAGGAGCATAGATTCAAATCACAACACTTTTATTTTGTTTGAGGAGGAAAATGTAAGATGTGTTTTTTAACCCTTTTTATTTGAAAAATCTGTTATCACAACAGACATGTAAAATTCCATAAATATATTTATAATAGTGCCTCACAAAATAGAGGTTCTATTTAACCAAGAACCTATTTAACCAGACAGTATCCTGAATTATAATCTTGACTATACAACATCTAGAATCTTTTAAAGATGTCAATATTATCCAGTAATTGTTTGTTATCCTGTCTCACATTTTCTTGGCAATATTTTTTTAACTTAACATCTTTAATAGCCGTTTGGTAAGCTTTGTCAAAAGGTTAATTTTTATGGAGGTAATCATTTACAACATAGCTAAGAGCTCAGTAATATTTATAGATTGTTGGAAAGGATGTTTATGAAAATGATTGGAAGAAGCCTTGTACTTATCAAATCACAGAAACAATAATTTCTTGAAATTTCATGAAATTGTTTTATACTGTTTCATATACTACCATGTGCAACAGCAAGAATGTAGTTTTTGTGCCCCTCCTTTTTTTAATCCTTTATCTGGCATGTAATTCTTTTCATGTAAAATTGAGTTTTCTGAACTATTTTGTTGTTTATTATCACCTTTGATACACATATATAATGTTTTATTGCTTCTGAAAAAATTGTTTCTTATAAAATGTGAATGAGGTAATTGATACATAATTGAAATTGTGACTAATCTGTTTAGTGACAGTAGGCCTCAACCGTTAGCTGAGTTGTTAAGACAGCTGAATATGGGTAACTTGACCAGGATTCATACTCAGATGAACAGATGACTTACTTCACTGATGTTTTTTGTGGTTTTCCCATGTACATTGTGAATATGAGCCAATTTCTCCAATAGAGACATCTTTACCCTTACGCAGATAACCCTTTTCGGCTTTGTTGCTTGGTCATATTCAAATACCCCTTCTCCCATTCAGTTACAAAATTATGCACTATTTCAAGACCATCCTGAAAAAGAGGTGGTCTGCATTAAATGATTTCTCAAAATATAGACCTCACAGAAAACAAAAGCAGATATGCAAACTGCAGAAAAAAATAAAAGTAAAAGGAATTTAAAAATTGTGAAACCATAACTGCTAACTCTTTAGTTTTTCCAGGAAATTCCTGAATTTTCATTACATGGCCCAGTTCTTTTAGTTTAGTTAGTTTTTAGGTTTTACTAAGGAAAATGCTTCTCAACTACAAATGATATTTTAATTCTGAAAATTCCGTTACTGATTTGCAGAATAATTTTTCTTACTATATTTTATTTGACCTAAATTGCCTTAATCTGCTGTAGGCAATTGTAAAACTTTTTGTAAAGATTCAAATTATGTTTAATGACTTGCCATTTGAATTAATTTTGTGTTCCATCTGTTTATGTTACATTATTAAGGTTATACACACCTTAATCATTATTCATTTTGTTTTAATTGTATTTAAAAGTGCTTTGATATGTAAAAGCTTTCCTTCCCTACTTAGGATTTTTTTTATTATAAAACTGTAAAAGAATTTCAAAATGCAATTACCCAGAGAATATAAAATTTAGACTATCTTATTAAATAGTAGTTCACTGTGCATCCTGAAATATTCTGTATTTTTATATTTTAGAGTTGGTGGTTATATGGGACTCTCTATAATACATACTGTATGTTAATAATTTTATTATTAATAAATTTACTATATTTCCAAAGGGGGGTGTTTTTAATGCTCTCTGAAAAATGTTTGTTATATTTCTTGGTTTGGAGTAGAACTCAGAAACAGATTAAAATTATTCCAGTAGTGACCTATGTCAGCATCTTGCATAAAAAATGCTATTACAGAATTGGTTGCAGTCATTTTGTCGGGCACCACTGTAATTGTTTGCAATTTAATTTCATATTTTCTTCTTTTTTAAGTATTTGAATAAATTTGTGAAATATAAATCATTACTGTTTCAAAACAACTGGTTAACTGTTACTTTTTTGATTACTTTAATTGATTATCACTGTAATTAAATAATCTTTATTTGTAGATACTTTGCTTATCCTATTATGCAAATCTGTAGATTGAAAAATTTTTCTGCCTCATTTTCACCATATTAGCTCTAAATTTATCATTAGGCATATTATATATAAAATTTTGTTTGGCAGCTATTTAAGAAAAAACGATAGCTGCTGACTATCAGCTTTAGTATACTGATCCTAGGCATGTTTCAATTACAGAACTTTTAAAAATGATTTGAGTAGTATGAGCAGGAAAGCTCTGTAAATATAGAATCAAACTTCTATGGTGTCCTCATAAAGCAGAAACTGTATTACTAAAATATTATGCTTTAAGTTTTATGTACAGTTTTGTACTTTTGCGTGCAAAGTTGTTGGAGATATTCTCAAACAAATGTGTTAGCTGAAATTAATTTTTGATGCCTATATTTTGGCCAAAAAGACTTTTTGCCCAAACTTTGGGACCATTTATTATATAAAAATTTACTTTTCTGTGGAGGGTCTTAAAATGATACTGTTTGTTCAGTAGGCCTTAGAAATGTTGTTACATTCCAAGTAACATTGTTACAACATTGTTACTGGAAGTTTTCTAGAAAAAAATAATTGAGGAAATATAGTCTGTTGTCACCTTTTTATGAATGCTTTGAATATGTACAATTGCCAATTGAAAAATTTAAGACAACAAAGGCAGTTTTAAAATTTTAGAAAAAGCACAATATTCTAAATGTGGCAAACCATTGCTGAATTGTGTGAAAGTTATACATCAGTGTGTCTAAACCTGCATTTGTACACTAGTAGACTTTTTTTATTACTGCAAGTGAAGCAAATATTCTGCTTTGTGTAGCTAATAAGGAAATGGTCTGTCTAAAAATATGGCATGAGTGTAATTGAATTTTGTGCTTAAATTTGGGGGAAAAAAAAAATTGAGATGCTTGAAATGTTTTGACATGCTGCATTTTTTCAAATAGGAAATGCAGAAATTATTGTTCTAAAACTGATGTCTTTATGGAATCTCTTCAGTGTTCTTTTTAAGTACTCATAAAGTGTGTGGTGATTGGTTAAAACTGCTCAATACTAGATGTTTGACTGTTGTTTGATTTCATGTGAATGGCCTGTCTACATGGTTGGTTTTCATGATTTTCATATTGTGTAAAGTGAATACAAGCCAATTTCTGATAAAACGTCTTCCATGAAGTCATCCCTTCTCTTAGGCACATAGCTCTCGTGTGCATTACCATATTCAAATAACCTAACCTAAATAACGTAAAAATGAAATTCTGTGTGAAGAATTTTTTTTTTTTTTTTTTATGGGGAGGGGCTGGTTATGCAGGGCCCTTAAGCATCTAATTCTGAATTCTGATGGTAGATTCTGAATGATCCAGCTTAAAGTTTTTCAGTTAGCCTTTGAATAAATCAAAGACCACCTTTTATGTAATACCTTGCATTTGTAGATTCAAATGCAAGAAGGGGGCAGGCAAAACTTTCAATCACCTGCATGTTGTGATTTTTGAAAAGGAAAAGCATTTGTTTGTCAGTGATCAGATGCTAGAGTAGTGATAGATGCTGAACATTTGTTTCTTCTTGTAGTGATTATCAAGTAAAGCATATATAGTTTTATAAAACTAAGACCTTTTATTGAAATTTTCTTTTAATAAGAACTGTAATCTATGTGCCTGTTCATTCTAAATAATTTCAGAAGTACCAGGTGGTCATAAATTACTGTGTGTATAATCATTGACAAATAGTGAATGATCCATGCCTGTATATACATACAAAATTATACATCATCTCAAACATTTATTCATATGTGTTAAAATTTTAAACAATTAAATATGGGCTTTTTTAGTTATCCAGTCTCTTATGATGCATTCTTTGCATTAATGACTTTCATAATTCATCATTTAAATTCATCACTGCTGCATAATTTGCTGCTTTTACGAATCATATTTTTCATCATTTTATCATATTTTTCATTTCCTACTTAAGGAAATGAAAAATATGATGCAGATTTATTTCTAGGTCAACTTGATCTCCAGATACAGTACTTAAGACTATTTTAATGTGTGATTATAAAAACAACATTTTTGCAATTAAATTATATGACACAGTCGAACTGTTATAATGAATTATAAAAGACATTACAACAATAATGCCCAAAGTGCTAGGGAATACATGATGAGAGTTTCAGAATTGGCTCAAATAATGTATGAAAACAGAAAAGGAGTGCTTATTAAAGTATTTAAAATTTAGTACAATTTCAAAAATGCTTGACTTGCTACATAATTTGATATGTAATATAAATGGGTATATTCCATAGCTCACTCACTAATTGTCACTGAAAATGTGCCCAATAATTTATAACCTTCCTGTATGATTGTATTGCTAAAGTGTGTGTGTGTGGGGGGGGAAATACTGCTGCTTCTTTTGTAGAGTTTTAATAAAAATTTTATTTATTTAGTCGAGGTCAAAATTCCTCTTTAGTACTATTTTATACTGCTCTATCTTTCTCATAATTCTGAAATGGAAATTTGAAAATTTTCAATTAAGTAAAAAAAAATTTTTTTTGTAATAATTTTTCAGGACGATCCAATTGAAGAGCATACTAGTCATGGGACTCAAGAAGGCAATTTAAAAAATGTTGGTTATCAGAAAGAGACTTGCTCTCAAAATTCAGTTTCTAGCCCTTTGGATGAAAATGAAAATCCATCCACTGCACTTGCAGATGCTAAATCCTCTAAGCAGTCCACTTACTCCTCTAGTAGTGATATCAGGAGGTTTTCTGTATCCATGTCAGATATTGAGCCAGTTACAGTGCCTTATCTAAGTCCATTAGTTTTAAGAAAAGAAGTTGAGAATGTTCTGGAACATGAAGGTGATAACTGTATGACAAAGCCAGAATTTGTAGACCAACATCCCATTATTTATTGGAATTTAGTAAGTCATTATGTTTTAATAGTATTATAATTTATGAACATTAAATATTTATATATCACTTTAAAAGTTTTTAAGAGCACTTTATAAAAACCTGTAGAATTTTTTAAATTATTCTTTTGAATCTTTATACTTGTATAACTTGATTTTTTTAAATGATATTGATCTTATTTTTGGAAAACATTGAACTTTCTTTGTATTTGCTAACAATATTTTGTAATTTAATTTAACAATTATTTAACACTTTTTGTAATAATAATTTCAGTAGTTTTGAAAGCCCCGTATAGCTGAGTGGCTAAATACGCAGAACATTAGTTTGCTCTGTGTGTAGTTCCTAGAGTAGCTGAATAGGCTGCAGCATGGATTTTTCACATTTTCCCATAATGGAGCCTAATTCATTTAGAAATCCTTTCATGGAGGCAACACATGCACGTTTTGTTATTATCTGTTAATTTATCTTTTTAACTTGTTTTAATACTGAATAATACTTTTTGGGAGGGGGGGGGAAGAATCTGTGTATGTACAGTATAATGTAAACAACCACTGTCCTGTTAAATATTAATTTTGATCTAAAATAACAATGTTGAATATATTTTCAGAATTTTACTGTTTATAAATTTAAGTTTACAGATGTGTAATATAATTTTTGTTTATTTACATACTATATAATGCTTAGTTTCTGGTACACATCCTGACCCCTTGCAGTATAATGTAAATTCTTTGATTTTGAATGTTTTAGCAAATTTTCATTACTTGTGCCATAACTGTCCCACGGGTTTTGTCCCCCTCCCCATTTTGGAAGTGTGCAGAGTCCCCTTTCTAAGTGAGGAAATTACTATGTAGTGTAAAACAATATTACATTGTAATGTTGATCTAAATTGCTTGTTAGACTTAATGTTACATATCTTTTAATGAAATTGAATATTTTATTGATTTACTTTTTCTTATAGATATGGTATTTTAAACGCATTGGTGTTTCAAGTCATCTTCCTAGTCTTGTTTTATCTGCTGATTCTATCACTAAAGGAAAACAGGTTTAAAATATAACTCCTTTTAGTTTTTTTTTTACTTTAAAGTTAATATTAATTAAAAATTATAATAAATATGATTTCAACAAATTTGTTTTTTTACAATTCCCCACTTTGCAAACGCTGATGGTGAAATGTCTCATTCATTGGGATAGGATATTTGAACTCATGAAGATGGGGCAAGCCAGTATTCTCTTTGGGTGCACAAGAAATGTATTTAATACTAAGAAAATCATTCAATTTATCTCCTTCTGTGCTTTGTGTTGAGCCTCGCAGTAGATTTTATAAAAGACATATATTTAGTAAATATTTTTTATCTCATAAGTTATATGTCCATACACATCTTAGTATAGATATATCTTAGAAAGTCGATTAACATTTACAAAAAATTTTATATTTTATTAATGCATGTAATTTTAATATGCATAATTATTTAGAATTTCTCTTTACTAACTATATTATGCATAAAAACAATATAAATTTACATTCACTAGGTGAACAATCACCTCTTGTCACTGCACTTCTTACAGATGAACGACAAGCTTCAAAAAAGTATGTTCCGTTTTCATTTTTCAATTAAGTAAATTAGTTTTACCTTTGTTCTCAGTCATTTTGTCACAATAAGACCTTTTATATTCCAGCAAAATAAGTTTTATATACATATATATATATTTGTAAATGTAATAAAAAATGGGAATGATTTATTTAAAATATGCATGCTCAAGGTATCACTTGCAAAATTTTTGGGAGTTGATAAGACTTTCATTGACACCTGGCAATAATCTGTAATTTCTTTTCTTTTTATTTTTTACTAACTCATTCATTTTTTCATTGTCTATTTCTTCAAATGGCAAATATAACTGAGCAGCGTACACATTAAATTTTGTTTTCAAAATAAAATATCTGCTACAAGAGTTTTTTAATTGTTGCAAAAAAAGGTACTTTCTGATTATCTGCAGTCCTGGTTTCAACATATTGTAGAACTGCTATGTTTTTTGATATATTTTGGAATATACATGTGGCAATAGACAATCTGCATATCTGTGCCGCACACATTTTAACCCTTTCCGTACGGGTACGTCATAGACACCACAGTAGCATGTGGTTCGCCTGTGGTGGGTGTGACGTCTGTGTTTTAAAGGATTGTCTAGTCTAATCTGTCTGGCTAGACCTGTCTAATGTATATGTGAAAGTCACATGAAATGAAATTTAAATATTTTTAATTCTAACAGATGACACCCTATTCCCATGGTACCAAGATAAATAGGAATTAGGATGCCTGAACTTTGACCTTGGACTGTTTCATTTGATTCTAAAGGGTAGATAATGGTATTCAGTAATATAAACAAGCGTGCTGAGACAAGCAAGCGTGCTGCGCATGTATATTTTTGTTTATGTTCCTTAAAGTGGCTTTTTGAGGAAAGAGTATCCGGCATAAGTCCAGTTTTTATTTAGTTTCTTCATTTCCTAAGTAATATAGGGTGTTCTTTCTTTTGTGTGAATGTAAATTTTTCGAGGGGGTTTGTGTTAAGATGTCAAAGCGAAAGCGATATTTATAATGCCATTTCATCGAAACCCATTTTCCATCTCTAATTCTTAATGAGAAAAAGATGCATTGTTTGCTTTCAAGCTACACTGAGGAAGCGAGCTTTGGGAAAAATATCTTACTTTGAGTGTAAAGATTGTAATACAGGACTCTGCATGTATCCATGCTTCAGAATATATTACACAGAAAACAGATTTTCATCGTAAATATATATATATGTATGTGTGGATGTGCCTGTGTAGGTTTATTGCTTTAAATTAAATATTTTAATCGTTGCTTAACAAATGCTGAATGTTTGTTTTAAAATTCCTCTTTGAGTGTCTACATATATCATTACAGCTGCAAAATTTATTTATATTTAATTCTGTAAATCACCAAGCATAAATATAAATGCATTTTCTGAAATATTTGAAAAAAATTGTGTAAATTCGAATAAAAATGTATCTCTGCCAAATATTTTTAGCAAAATTAGGCTTAGCAATTGAGCACCCGATGTCCAGTGGGGACACCACGGAAGCCCAGCGCTCCGTCTCATAACGAGAGGCTAGGAGATCAGGCTGCCGTTCAGAAAGGGTTAAAGTACACATCTATTTACACACTTTACTGTCATTTCACTGGTTAGCCATGAAGATAGCCAAAATAACTGATAAATTCAACAAGGAGTAGCCAACTTTTAATGGGGATGGAGAAACTTGGAAAATACCAATGAACTTAGCTAAACAGAAAAGCATTTTTAATGATATCTTTAACTCTTTAATTGGTCAATTTTTTCATCTGAAGTGGTTCTAAATAAAATATTTTTTTCACATAAATAAACACCATACTTTACAGAGTGTAAAAATGCAATAATTTATTTTGTAACTTTCATAATTAGTAATTTTAAATCAATTTTTATTTTACAATTTTAAAACATAATTATTCTTAATTTTTTTTTTTTTCCCCCTCTGTTACAATATACACACTATAATAAACACAAGTGATGCAGTGGAGACAAATTTACAAAATTTCTCAAAAATAAACTTAGTACTAAAAGCTCTTTTTAGCACTAATTTTTTTCCTCAGAAGTGGGTTTTTTTGGGAAGGGGCAGGGTACAATTTAAAACATGGTGTAATGCAATGTCCTATGTTACACTTAGGGCAAAAAACATGAGTTTCCTTTCAGATTCTCTTTCCATTCTCATTTCTTTTCGAACAACAAATTGCACATTGCCTTGCAGTTATAATTTTCTTATTTGTGGGGCAATAATTTCAATAAAGCATGTTTCTGTCTGTCTTAGAGGATTGGGCTTAGAACCTCAGGTTGTTATGCATGGCACCAATTTCCAATCCTTCTCGACTCGGGGAATCTCCTCGTCTGATCACTCAGTGTTCTTTAATCTACATGTTTATGTACTTGAGAGTGAATTGTTTATTACATCTAATGTGAAAATAATTATTTCATGATACCTCCCAAGAAGATTGTTGCCTCAGATAGTGCTGCAAAGAAAAATAAGGAGCAATGGCCTTTGAAATTAAGGAAGAAATCATTGATAAACATAACTGTGGGTAAGAGACATAATGGCGAGCTTATGGCCTTTCAACACAACGATCTGCACTATCTGAAGAAGCAAGAAATAAGAACTTGATGTAGGCAAGATTACCATTATTCCAAGCACCTGCCAAAACACCTAGAAGCTGTGTGGATTAACGAAAAGCAGTTCAGATCGGTGAAGCTATCATAAAGGTAAACTACGGTTATATTATTTACCAATGTTATTTATTAGAAAAATGGATATTTTTGGGGGGTGCGGAATGGATTAACAGGATTTCCATTATTTTCAATGGGAAAGTTTGCTTCTAGATACGAGAAATTCACTGTACGAGCTCAATGCTGGAATGAATTAAACTGATATCCCAAGATTCCATGGTATAATCCATGAGTTTTCTTTTTTTTGTTATTCTGTATGGACTTGAATTTGTCCATTTGATTATTATGAATTGTAGACAGTAATAAAAAAAATTTAAAAAAACAATTATCCATCAATTTCATCACCATAACTTTTCCTCTCTGTAAAAACTATCTAGAATTTCCCCTTTTTTCAATTTTCTTTGCTGCATTTCCTTTGGTGCTTCTTTCATCTTCAGGTTTAGTGTGCGGTGTGTATCCATTCAACATAAAATAAGTCTGTCTACTAATTCTGGGAGAAAATAGGAATTGTCTATAGAAGCAATAGATCCATCATTGTCAGGACACCTTGTGATGAAAAGCAAAGGATTGATTCTTGTAAAAATTGTAATTGATAACACATACCTGGATATCGCCCAGTATCAAATATTTTATTCCAAATCTAGCTCTTTTTATGGGAATAAATTGCTTCATTCTAGTCATTCCTTATATAGCATAAAGTTCTTGTAACATACCGCATTGGTGTTGCTGTCTTTCTAAACTTCTCGTCTAGATGTTTGATAACTGGTCCATATATTTATCAATTTGGGGCATTCGGGATTTTTTTGATCAAATGCTGAATTATCAGAGAGATATAAGTAGCATTGCATAAGAAGAAATCAGTTATGTGACATTATTTTATGGGAAAAAGGTGTATGCATGGAATATCTCTTTCTCCAGTATTGGTCAGTTCCAGGTTTCTTTACAATTCCTTTACTATATTTAGAACAAAAAATATATGCATCTCTTCCAAATTTGTTCCTTCACAAAATTTACTTCTTGAAAAATGTGTTATAACATTTGATTCAATACACTGTTTAACATACTTATTTGTCTTTTCAACAGTTTTATCCTTAAGAAATTTATCAATGAATATTTCATAAAATTGTAAAGCATCCCATATATCGTCAACTTGCATGTGTACAGATGAATTGCCTGTAAAATTGAACCAAGAGCATATAATTGCCTGTAAAATTGACCAAGAGCATAGGGGGGTCATATCAATTTCTATAAAATTTCTAATAGAACTCAAATTTTCATCAGAGCTGAGCTCACTGCACAAGTAATATTAAGAAGAATCCCAGGCATTTGAAAGACATCTCTGAATCTGTATCAGAATTCAGTTCATCTTCTAGCAACAAAGTATTTTCATCACATTCTTCCACAATTCACTAAAGTGCTCAAGTAGAAAGGTTTCGATTCAGAAGTCTTGCATACAACAGAGCAAAAGTTTCTTGAAGTCTGAAAAATTCCAGTTCAACAAATTAAAAAATGAACAAAACCTTTGATATGGACAAGTTGTACCATCTATTGAAAGGTATTGAAACTAAATCATTTATTTATATAAGCATTAAAAATACAGGGAAATCAAAAAAGGAAACTCAGAAAATATCTATTCCTGTATGCTGTGCAGGCAAACTAGTTGGGGTTAACTTTGAGTAAAATTCCATTATTCAGCAGTATGTATTTACAAGCTCTGTATTCACTGGATATGGCTTAAATTTCAAATTTTTAGTATTAAAATTGCCATTTCATAGTCATTAATTGCAAGTCTGTTGACATAAAAGAAAAGTCTCTGTAAGTCCTGAGAAGATTTTATGAAAAGGAGTTTAAATTATGTTTTGGCTTTGGAAAAAGCATTTTGAAGTGCAAATAAAGGAGTTAGTTACTTAGAAAGTGAAATAAATGCTGACCAATAAAAAAACTGAAATTGTGTTTTATGGACACATTCCTGATATTTTTTGATTGCAGGAGTGTACGTTTGTAGTGAATGCTGACCAATAAACTGATATATTGTGATTGATAGAACCATTCCTAATACTTTTTCATCACAATAGTAAAAATCAGCATTTTTATTAATGAATACTGACTGTGATATGTATTTTGATCTCTGAGTTTGTTTTTTCCCCCAGTGTCATGAAACAAATTCTGGGTCGTCTTCAGTGCAATGATTTATATTCTCCTATATGCATGCTAATGAATGAGAGGAGGAAAGGTCCGGCCAGGAAGCATTACCACAGTATTTACAGGGAAATTCTTTTCCTTTCCTTTGTTGCAATAGGTAGAGAAAACATTGATAACTGTAAGTATATTAAATTCGTACTCCTTTAAGAAGTGTCCTATTTGAGTAGCACTTTCATGTAAAAAGGAAATTATATATTTTTTAGTCATAATTTAACTGCAGCATATCATTAGGGATTTTCTTTAAAAAAATTTTTAAAAACTTGATAAGTATGGAATGAAACTGTATTCTAGTCTATAAATGAATTTTTTTGTATGTTATTTCTGTCAAGAAATGAGTAAGCAAAAACGTTAGTCAAAAGTCGTTAATCCGGACACCCCTAATCCGGAATGATCTATAATCCGGACCTCAAAGCTACAAACTTTCTGCGCATGCACGGTCAACGCAAATATTTACGCTGCGTGTACAGCGTGGCGACATAATACTTTATGCTGCACTTTTATTATAAGGACGTATAGGGGGGGGGTCTAAGCTAAAATTTCTAATTATCTATTTCCGTTAATGTTGCAGATTGCGTTGTTTCGTGATCTTCGAATGGATCCGCTATTTTTTGCAGACTGTTTAGCATTTTTAAATGATTGAAACTTCGATTATTCAAATAGAATTTCCCGATGCCTGGGTCTACAATGGAAAGCATTTCAATGTTCATCAAACAAAAATGAATTGTGCAAAAAATGGATAAAGGCTGCTTCGGTTCTCTAACATTCCGAAATCTGTTTATCATTTCACGCTGCTCAGGAGGGGGAAGGGGGGAACGCGCGGGTCAATAACGGGAAGGTGATCTGTCAGCACAATCCTTATCGTCAGGCAGGTGTTTTTATTTTATTCGCTTCTAATTCCTTACTAAATGTCGTATTGCATCTCGATGTACTCGTCTTGATATATTAAATCAAATTCTCGTCACTATAAATATACATACAAATCAAATGTTTTTCTGGTTGCATTTCAATTTGACTATGCTGATTACGCTTAACGCATGGTTCGTTGAATAAATGTTAATAAGTAAACAAATAAATATTAAGCTTTTTTTTTGCAAATTTTTGTTACCCTTTATCATATTGCTCTTTATTCATAAATACGTTGCAATTTTTTTATAATTTCTGCATGCCATCTTACCAGATTTAAACTGATGATCTATAATCCAGAATCGCTGAAGTCACGACGAGTCCGGATTAAAGACTTTTGACTGTACTGAATTTACTGCACATGTATATGGAATGCTTACATATTTTTCCATTGATCATTTTCAATAATTAGAAAGTATTCCCAAACAATGCAATTTAGTGCCAATAATAAACAAGCATGTTGTCACTACATACTTATAAGATCTCCAGTTTTGTTTAATGTAACCATGATGCTTAATAAGCCAGTTTAGGCTTTATAATGAAGGATATAAGGTAAGAGTTATTTCTCTGGTTTTTCTTGCAGTTTGAAAAAAAAAAAAATGATACATGTTGGGGACTGCTTTTTTTATAACAGCAAGCAGTTGAGTGCATTCAGAGTGAGAGGCTTATTATGCTGTTCCATATACACAAACATTTTTCTTTAAGAAATTCCATAGGGGAACACTTCATAACTGTTTTGGTAAATGTTACACAGCATACAATGTTACATAGTTTACACAGCACTTTTAAGAAACAGCATTGCCTTTTTGCAAGAGAGGCAGGTGCTCCATAATGTAACATTCTTGCAGGATGGAGCACTTCTGCTCCGATGGAGCACCTGCTATGATTATCATTTGATGGCATTTGAGTCCTCAGTCTCTCTTTTCCACATGAACAACCAGCACAGTCTCCAGACCTCACAGCTAGTAACTTTTGATTAAAGTCCTTAGGTATTTAGTTTTAGCCAAAATTGATAGAAGATCCTTAATTTTGCTTATCAGGAACATTTTCTCATATTTTTGTACCTTCGTTATGAGTGTAAATTAAAATTTTCAATGGATATGAAATGCTCAATGAGCTATAGTGCATCTAGAAGGATACTAATTCAGAAGTCAAACAACAAAAATCAGCGTTATACCTACAAAATTTTCTGAATTAGTATTTATTCGGCGTGTTATTGTGTCTTAATCTAGAAGGATGTATCTGCAAGTTGAATCCCACTATGTTGAAGGTGTAGATATGAGCTGCAGTTCCATGCAGATGATGATATCATATGACTGTGATATAATTGCTGTTTTGGGATGAGAGGTAGAATATATCATTCAAGATCACTACTAAACATGGCTGCGCAAATTTGTTCAAATTTGGAATTGTGCAAATTTGTTCTTGTCTCGGGACGCATGTTACAGCAAAGAATGCTGGCTAACGAGGTCATCAACAGAGGCAGTTCCAGCAGATAAACAATTTTACGAGGGGCGTAGTAATCGGAGTGAAGGGCGGTTTTGGGATGAGAGGTAGAATATATCATTTAAGATCACTACTGAACATGGCTGTAGCTAATATTTAATTTTTGGGGGTGGGCTCTGACTTTTTGGAGTAAAGTTAAGCTGTGACTTGATGAAGTATTTTGGTAATTCTTATATTAGTAAATTTAATCTGTGCGATTTTGGGCAAAAATGATCTAGAACAGCATTATTGACCTTAAGTCGTAAAGGATTGAAACTTGACGTAAACTGTAGACACATTCTTCATTTTTTCTTATTTCTTAAATAGTTATTATTGTTTCTAAAGTTAAAATCTTTTTTCAATTGTCACAGTGAAAACTGGCCAACAAAATCATTAGAAGCTTTTGTTTATTTGAAAAATAATTTGCATCACAGACTGCTGATGCCTTATCTGCAGTTTTGGGTTTGCCATTTTTGTCACCATAGTGACCATTCTCCATTTAATATACACTACCTGACATTGAAAATGCAACACCAAGAAGGAGTGGCCTGAAAATTGTGCAATTTCTGGTAACCCACGTCACCAGTATTGAATGTGCAGCTCTCCAGTGCACGTTTAAGAAGATTATAAGGGAAGGAACACGCAGAATGTTAAATTTTTGTGCCGTTACTTCTGCTAGGGAAATCATCGTGGAAAATTTGTTTTTGTCTCAGGGGACGCGTGTTATAGCAAAGGACGGCACGTTAACGAGGTCGTCAACAGAGGCCGCTTCCAGCAGATAAATAATTTTACGAGGGGCGTGGTAATGGGAGTGAAGGGCGGCTTGTTCCATATGGGGTAGATCTCAGCTAACACGCACCTAGTTGCATCCACAGTCCATTGGCTGTGGCAACAGTGATTGGAACAAGGAAATGTATCAAGTTTGAAGGGTGATTGTGCAGGCAGAGTGACGTCAGCATGCATGGATCTATGCATCTGCCGTCAAGTGGTGGTGCACCCATAAGCCACTTCTACCTCCATTCTGCAGCATTTCCAAGACACCCTGGATGTTCCCATATCAACCAGAACCATTTGCCTCCAGTTGGTGGCTAGTGGCCTGCACTCATGGCTCTGTTAAGAGATGCCATAACCCACATCTAGACGCAATGTCTTCAATATTGTTGGGTTCGAGCAATGTGGACAACGTAATGGCACAGGGCCGTGTTCTTCCTACTTCTGTTTCTCCAATGATAGTTGCTGTGTACAAGTGTGGCATTAGTGTGGAGACAGGTCCAATCCAGCAGCAATTGTGGAATGCTCCACCACATGGCATCATGGTTTGGGGGTCAATTGTGTATGATTTCAGGTCTTCTCTAGTTTGTATTCAGGGCACCATGACGACCCAATGATAGGTATAGGATGTGCAGAGGCTAGTGACACTCTCTTACATTCAGGGAGTGCTCAATGCCTTGTGTCAGCAGGATAATGCTCGACCACACACTGCTTCCATCAGCCAACATGCTCTACAAGGTGTACAGATGCTTTCCTGGCCACCATTCTCTCCTGATCTCTCACCAATCAAACACATTTGGGATGTGACTTGAAGCCATCTGAAGACCCTGCTACTGCAGCATTCAGAGAGACTGTGGCAAGTGGTTGACGGGGAATGGAGAGCCATTCTTCATGGCACCATCCATAGTGTCATTGACTTCAAACCTAGACGTGTTGCTTCATGTCTTGCCGTCCAAGGTGGTCCTACTAAGCTGGTGCTGTTCTTGCTGTATATTATGTACGTCATTTCGAAATAAAGATCATGTATTGTTCGTGGCAGTCTCTTTTTGTTTGTTGAGTTTCATCGCTTTCTGGCCATTCCTTCTTAGTGTTGCATTTTCAGTGTCGGGTAGTGTACCTTGACGAGGTTCGTGATTATCATCTCTATAAAAAAGAACCCATTCCTCAATAGAATCATGCGGTCTATTATATCTTTCTAGTATAGTATATACTAAAAGGAAATGATCAGCATTTCATGTACGAGAAGGAATCTGCCATTTAATAAAGAAATTAAATCATTGATAAAAAGATGGAAAATTTATGTGTGATAATAGATTTCTGAATCTGTTGTGGATATTTTACTATGATGTTTTTGGAATTTGTGATTTTTAGAATAATCATTTTTATGTTCAGATTGTTACATATTTCTTTGACTTGAATATATACTGAATGCAGTGTCTGCATTTTGCGTGCATTTAGAGTCGAATTATATATACGCTGTATACATTGCATACTAATTAGCTGTTTGTAATGATTTTGATAGTGCATAAATGATTTACAAGAATTTGAACACAAATATTGCAATAATGAATTTATACTTATTAACAGACTTTAACAGCAAAATATTTTTAGCTTTCAGCCAATGTTTGTTTGATTTCTTCCAAAGAAGCCACAACTGGTTCAAGAATTTGTTTAAAAAGGAATATAGCTTCATGTCTTTCACCCCACCTAGTTCTGCATAATTTTTTAACTTATTTTTGTCCATTGAAAGAATAAACCTTTTAATCTTTTCCTCTAATACTTTTATGTGCATTTTGGACTTAAATGAAAAAGTGTGCATTTTGGAAGTAATTCCAATAACACTTAAGTCTTGAACTTTACAAGGATCATTTGGTTTAAACAATAAGATGCACAATGTGTGTACAAGGCTTTTGGGGTACGTATTTCATGTAATAAATAGCACCTCTTAGCAATAATTGC